CTGGCAAATTCTCGCCCCCCACTCTCTCCTCTGCCGGCCTCATGGCTTCTGTCACTGACTTCTCTGTGCCTGTCCCTGACAGACACCTATGGTAGCCTGCATTCAAATTCTTCAACAGAAAGGGTGTGGTTGGCGTAGTTCCTCATCCATACTCCTCCTCCCTAACACTCAGAAGCCACCGACTCCCTATGATCAAGGTTGCAAAGTCGCATGATTCAAAGCCCAGCAACTTGTGCCCTAGGAGGGTGGCCGTAAGAGTGGTGAGCATTTTGAATTGTGGTTTTGTAAAATAATCATAGCAATTATTAAATCCAGCGTTCTCATTGTATAGCTAGGGAACTGAGCTCCAAGCCAAGAAAGTGAGTTGCCCACCATCCTGCACTATATTAAAAGGCAGAGCCATGCCAACTCAGTCTAAGGCGCACTCCACTCCTCCAAAATCCCACATTCTCCTCAAACATTCTTGAGCCCTCACTGAAGACTAAGCTCTGAGCTAGGCGCACGCATGTTGGACAGAACTAAAGCACAGTGACGGCCTTCCCCATGCTTGCATTGTGCTTAGGGTGATGACCCGGCCATGAAACTATCAGGTAGGCAGCATTCTAGAAGAGGCTGTAAAGGTGCTGGGAAAGACCAAGGTGAGCCCTTGTGGGCAGAGTCAGGGGAACACCCAGCATGAGGCAGGATAAGCAGAAGATTGTCAGAATGACAAGAGGAGGAAGGCACTCTATGCAAAAGGAAAAGGTAAGGCAAAAGGAAGGGAAAAAGCATGAGAGTTAAGATAACTTGCCTATTCAAGAGGAGGATGTGTTGGTGGAGGGAACAAGCAAAATGTACCAGGGGACAGGGAAAGCATGAAGGGGACAATAGCCACTAATTTCCAAGTGAGTGTCCAGAGCAGCATGGTCACACCTATGATACACCTTCATCTCACTGCCTCCTCATACCTACCGACCTTCTCAAAATTCACCTCCTGTAAGTTTTCTCTGACCCTCCTCCTCTTCTGTGTGCTTTGTCAGGATTCTATATATGCCCCTGTCACACCCCCTATGCAGGAGCCCAACTAGGCTGAGAACCACAGGAGGCAGGGCCTGTCTTACTTGCCTATTACCATTTCCTCAGAGCCTGGTGCCTTGCACAGCAATAAACATCTGTGGACTAAATAAATGAATGCATAAAAACCCACTGAACGCACAAAGTGAGTTCAATAACACTTAGCAGAAGAGAGTCCCAGGAAGGTAAGTTATATACTCACAGTCTTCTTATCTGAGGCTATCTGGTCCAAGAATCTATTAGTTAATTTTTTTAAATGGTTGAATCAAAGAATCTTAGGGGGGAAGTGCTTTTACATACTATGGTAGAAACTGACAATTGTCTCCAAACTGACAATTGTCTCCAATCTCTCTTGAAATAAGAAAACCCACATTTTACCCTGTTTCCTCGAAAATAAGACAGTGTCATATATTAATTTTTGCTCCCAAAGATGCACTAGGTCTTATTTTCAGGGGATGTCTTATTTTTCCATGAAGAAGAATACGGTACACATTTATTGTTAAATGAAAATAAAGGAAATTTATTACCTGTATACAGTACGGTAGTACAGTAGTACGGTAGTTGTCAACACAAACCAGACAAACTGTGAATCCTACAGTATCAAGAATTTACTCATTTATTCAATGACAATCATGTCATCATCTTCTGGAACATCATCATAACAATCCAATTCCTGAATTTCCTGGTGAATTTCTTGTGACTCCATTTCTTTCAGAATCGGTGAACCAAATCTCTCATGTTTAGCCTTGGCAGGAGGGGGGGGGCTTATTTTCAGGGGGGATGCCTTATATTTCATTCAGAAGAAAACCTGTAAGTAGGTCTTATTTTTGGAGGATGTCTTATTTTGGGGGAAACACGGTAGCTGGGCATGTGGCCTCTAGAATAAAGACTACATTTCCCAGCTTGCATGGAGGTAGGCATGGTCATGTGACCAAGTTCTGACCAGTGGTATATGAGCAAAGGTGATGTACAATATCTATCACATCATGTCCACTTCTTTCTTCTACACCTCTGACAACAATTTTTATAAACTATTCACTTTTATTGAAGCTTTCAAAAAATATAACTCAGCTTTCATGGAAATGGATTTCATTAATTTATATAATAACTTATTGAATCATATAATAACAACAACAGCTACCAATGAGAACATTTACAAAGGAAATAGTGAGTTCAAGTTTTCTTGGCAAAGCGGTAACATGACGGTCAGTTAAGAGAGCTTCTACTATAAAACCAATGGCACAGCGGGAAAGATGAATAGAGTAGACACAGGAGCACACAGAAGTGACCAGGGCTGGATAAATAAATGCTTCTCAGAGGCCTCCTCTCTTCTGAACACTCCTGGGATTAGTATTACCACCTGTTACCAGCAATCTGGTCTTTACTGTAAGCTCACAGGTTCTTAAAGAAGCAGTTCCTCTAACCTCCTAGCAGGGGTCCTCAAACTTTTTAAATTGGGGGCCAGATCACAGTCCCTCAGAGAGCTGGAGGGCCGGACTATATGAACTACTAATTCCTACTGTAACACCTCGGCTGCGCTCACTGCCCAAAAAACCTGGCAGGCCGGATTAGACTCCTCTGCGGGCCGCATGTGGCCCGCAGGCCATAGTTTGAAGACGCCTGAGCAGGTTTGCTTCCTACCATCTGGCCACTGGGTTGGGCTAGCGAACAGCTCTTTATATATATATAATATACCTGGCAGAGAGAAGGGAGTTTTGCATTACAAGGGGAGAGATGGAGAATTGGGATCTCTGTGCTCCTTTCTCTTGGCATGTCATAACCTCAGAAACACTATATACACAAAGCTGCACGTAAGGCTTGCAGACACCTGGTCTCTGAGGCTGTGTGCACACAAGAACAGCCTGTACTTCCTGGGAGGCTGACCCCACTCCCTTTATGGGATGTTTGCCCAAGAAAGGACAGTAAACCCAGTCTGTGCCTGTGGCCTGGAAAGGAGGATATGCCAAAAACAGACACGTCAAGCAACAGGGGACAGAGAGAATAAGCAGTGACATGAGAGCCAGGGAGGCACATGCCTCAACCAGCAGAGATATGCACATGTACTGATCGGGGATTCTGTAAAGGCTTGGTGACCGAATAAATGTGCCACTCTCCTTGGGCACCACCAAGTCGTTTGTGTTCTCATAGCATGGTAACCTGTAATTGCTATGTTAGGATGACTATTAGGGTGAGTCATAGTATCTCAATTATGTACATAGTATCTCAATCATGTCAATATCCACATCAAACTGAAAGTCCCACATGGGTAGGGACTATATCTCATTCTTAAATTCTCAGGAACCAATACGCAGACATAAACGCTCATAATCACTTGATAACGGATGAATGACATGCTCTACCATTTATGCAAGATGTTTACAGTCATTATCTCAGCTGATTGTCTCCCCAAAGACCCTGTGAATTAGGCAGAGCAGGCTTTATCATCCCCATTTTATGGATGAGAAAACCACCTACAGGTTATCTCATCTATAAAAAAGCCAGAGTAGCAACTAGAGCAAGTGACAAAGCCTTTTCTCAGAGTAGAACTTCAACCTCAGATCTCCTTCCCAGGGAAAAATAAAACAGGCAATATCACCTCCGGCTGTGGAAGAGGAGACAGAGATCTGTGGTCTAACTGGCTTCCTGGTGCTTCCTGTGATCACCTCCCAGACACACTACCTGCACCCACACCCTGGTCTTGAGTTGGCTTTTGGAGAAACCTAAAGTTAGACACTCCCATTGGAGCTCCAGAATTCTCTTTCTCTGTTATTCAGACGGTTCATCTCAATTCTCTGGCAGCAACAGATCCTCAGCTCTCCTAGGGAGCTCATTTATCGACAGCAGGTGCTCTCTCCCTGAGAGAATTCTGTACCTACTTTTAGAAAAATATTCCTCTCTCTCTCTCCCCTTCTTGTCTCTCTCATCTATTTCTGACTGGCTCACTCTCTGTCTTGTATGCATGGCTGTTTTGTGTGTTTGCTCTGTGAGGATCATGTGCTTCAGGTAACCAGTTTATCTCATCCTCACCCAGCTGCTGGGAGGAGGGGCTAGAAGACCTGCCCTCTGATCCATCTGTACCATTCACTTGTTGGCCTTGGACAAATCATGTAACTTCCTGTTTTCTTATCTCTTAAAAGGAGTCCAGCTAGGAGATCTGAGAGGTATGTAGGTAGCAGACTAGAACCGGAGGTGACATGCCTCACCAAAGAGCGAGTTAGGACTCCTCCAGTTCCTCAGTTAGCCTTCGGGTCTTTCCTTGTAAAATTATGAGAATTCGTCCCGAGGGCTCTCACCTCCCCCAGTTCTATAAGCCGCAGAATCCTGTCCCTCCCACTGGCAACATTAAAAAATAATTACCAAACTGCAGGGGAGAAAAGAGGAAAAAGTGATTGGGTTGAGTTGCTGTTGTTTTCAAGATAGAGCAACCTACCCTCAGGTTAGTGGGTAATGAGAAGAAAAATCTCACGCCTGCTCTGAGATTCCCGGGGGAAAGGCGTCCGTGAGCGCCTCCTGGCGGAGAATGCTGGCGTGGTTCTTGATGCCTCTGGAAGCTTTGCTGCCCAGGTCCGCACAGCACATAACTCAAAAGCATAAAACTGTAAGTGAAGAAAATGAAAGAGCACAGTGTCCCGCAGACCACACACAGCTGAGAGCTAACTACAGAACATAGAGAGGAGGAAAGGCTGCTTTCTATACTTTGATACTGTTTTAGTGGTTATAAAAGACTACATGCTCACTGTGGGGGAACTGTTAAGACACAGCACAAAGGAGACCCTGCCATCTGGGTCCTGTGGAGGGCGCCAGGCCAAACTCGGGGACACTAGCCTGCTGGGGAAATGCCTTCATCCCTCATGGTGGCCATCGCAGGTCCCTGCAGAACTGCTAAGGGGATCAAAGGGAATAATGTATTTGCAAGTATTTCTTTTTCTTTTATTTTATTTTTTCCCCACTGTGTATTCTGCTTCAGTGCCTGCAGCCTACAGGCAGAGGCCAGGCAATGGTTCAAGGCCACAGTCTGCTCTGGCATGGGCACTATGAGAGACACAGGGAGATGGGCTGCCATCAGTCCAAACCCAGGCATGCAAGCATTTCACACCTCCTTAGGCTGGAGAAGGGCAATAAGCCTCCTGGTTAAGCACCAGGAGCTGCAGCCTGGAAGCCCAGGGTCAGTTGCCAGTTGTCACTGACCTTAACACCTCCAGCAAGATCTCTACCTTTTCTTTCTGTTTCCTTACCAACCAAGTGAGCATTATGATAATAATAGCTGCCTCGTAGAGGGTTTGGGGGATTCAATGTGATCTTTTACCTGGGGCTTTCAGGTCAGTATCTGACCTTGGCTCCATTGGGTGAGTGGGGTCAATTCCTGGTTAGGGCACATGCCTAGGTTGTGGGTCTGATTCCCAACCAGGGTGCATGCAGGAGGCAAATACAATAATTGATGTTTCTGTGTCACATTTATGTTTTTCTCTCTCTTCCTTCCTTCTTTTCTCTCTAAAAATTAATAAATATGTCCTCATGTGAGGATAAAAAAGAAAAATGTAATCCATTATATTTATAATTTAGCATATTCTCTATGAAGACCAGAATGTCACTCTATTTCCAGACCCTTGTACAGTGCTTGACACACAGTGAATATTAAATCAACATTCCTGCCACCTCCCCTCCCTCAGCCACCCCTGTGTTCTCTTCTCCAGGCAAAACCTCCCTAGTCTCTTAGCTGATTCTCAGCTGACATGGACTCTGGGATGTGTTCCCACTCTGTTCATTTCTGTTCCTCTGTGTCTCTCTTCAAACACAGTGCCCAGCCTTGGAGAAAATCTGTGGGTTAAATGACAGGCCCCCAAATTATGGTCCTGATGCTGGGACCATTTCAACACCATATGTGCGGATGCAGGTACCCTATCCCAGTTGTCAGCAAACTCATTAGTCAGCAGAGTACAACGACTGAAATTTCTTTTGAGAGCCGAAAACCGATTTCTGCGCATGGGCCACAAAGTTTCAATCGCAATGTATGTGCATGCCCGCACGTGGTATTTTGTGGAAGAGCCACATTCAAGTGGCCAAAGAGCCGCATGTGGCTGGTGAGCTGCAGTTTGCTGATCACTGAGTGGATTAGAAAATTGTGGTACATCTACACAATGGAATACTATGCTGCTGTAAAAAAGAAGGAATTCTTACTATTTGCAAAAGCATGGATGCAATTGGAGAGCATTATGCTAAACAGAATAAGCTTGTCAGAGAAAGATAAATATCACATGATGTCACTCATTTGTGGAATATAATGAACAACATAAACTGATGAACAAAAATAGAACCAGAGACATATAAACATGGAACAGACTGTCCAACCTATGAGGGAAGACTGGAGTGGGGGTGAGGATAAGAGATCAACCAAAGGACTTGTATGCATGCATATGAGCATAACCAATGGACACAGACAGTAGGGGGTGAGGGCATGTGCTAGGGAAGTTGGGGGGCAGGGAGGGGAACAGCCAGGCAGAGGTCAATGGGGGGAAAAGGAGACTCATGTAATACTTTTATATAATAAAGAATTTAAATTAAAAAAAACATTTAAGAACCTGTTTTACCCACCTACTGGGGTATTTTTTTCTTTTCATTATTATGTCTTTAGAGGTCTAAATCATGATTTTTTTGTTTTGTTTTTTATAAGCCCTACTTAGAACTTTCTAAACCACCTCCTCTTTTTTACTAGGTGGTGTTTTTTTTCTTAGTTTCAATTTATTTTTGGTTTTGTTTATTTAACTAACTTTTAAAAATTCCTTTAATCCCTAATGTTCTATGTTATGTAATAATATACTTTTTGGAGCTCTACTTGTTTTGTTTTTGTGTCTGTTTCTTGCTTATTGTTTTCTTTCTTTTTTTTAAGAACCAAACAAACATGAATTTTTCAAGGACATCCCAAATGAGTTACTAGTGAGGTTACAGAAGTTCCCACTCATGCCACAACAGCAAGAATCAAGAATTCTGCACGTTAAAGTAATTACCTCTTTGGATACATAAAAACAATATATAAAAGGATGCCACAAAGTGCAAAAAGACATTCAGCAGAGCAAAACAAACAGCAGGCTGATTGTCCTAACAAGAGGGCAGAGAAACTCCTGTGGTTCAGTCCCAGGAAACAGCTGCTTCAGGCAAAAACAGGTCCAGACATGGGTTTTGATCAATTCGTTACAACTAGTCAAAAGCAAACTCAAAGGAAATTGAGGTTTAGATTTCCTATGACTGTAATAAGAACTTACAACAAAGAGAACCTTTAACCAAACATCTCATATGCAGGTTGAGCAAGAAATAATAAGCTGTGATATTTAGCCAGGGTACCTGATTATGGATGGACTCTTCTGCCGCTGAGCTCTGAGCATCTCACATAGCATGATCTGGAATTGCTCCTGCACCAGCATTTCTATCATCTGCTCCTTTCTGTGAATATCGGGTCTCAGCCACTTCCCAGCAAGCGCTAGCAGATGCCTGAAGACTTCCTTGGGCCCAGATGGACCCTCACAGTGGAACTTTCTTAACATCTGCCTGAAGATGAGAGGATTGACAGGGCTGACCAGGCCTGCAGAGGAGGGCAGTTAGGGGTGACCATGCCTGCAGGGGAGGGCAGTTAGGGGTGACCAGGCCAGCAAAGGAGGGAAGTTAGAGGCAATCAGGCTGGCAGGGGAAAAGTTAGGCATCAATCAGACTGGCACGGAAGTGGTTAGGAGGTGATCAGAACAGCAAGCAGAAGTGGTTAGGGGCAATCAGGAAGGAAGGTAAGCGAGCAGTTGGGAGCCAGCAGTCCTGGATTGTGAGAGGGATGTCCAACTGCCTAGGATCAGGCCTAAACAGCCTGCACCCTCACCCCCTGAGGGGTCCCAGATTAGAGAGGGTGCAGGCTGGACTGAGGGACACTCACTCCCTCTCTCCCCCAAGCACAAATTTCGTGCACCAGGTCTCTAGTCTAATACATAAAAATCTAGAAAATTTAGAGAAAATAAAATAAAAGGTAAATATTGAACAGAAGAGCTGAAGTTGCTGCGTGAATACTGGATACAGAATTGAAGCCAAAACTCATGAGATAAAGTTAGTCATTGTAACATAACAAAAGTTTCTTTTCACTAAAGAGATAAGGTGGTTCCCAATATTTATACACATAATAGAACAGTGTGGGGGTTCAGAATGAGCCTCACCAAGATGTGTCTCAGTGGTACCCAAATTTTTGAGCTAAGGGCAATTTTAGTTTCAGGCTCAAGTGAAAATTCTCTTTAACTACCTTAAAAAAAAAAAATTGAATTAGAGGCCTTACCCATAATAACACATTATCTTATATAATAAAAGGCTAATATGCACATCGACTGAACAGCAGAATGTCCGGTCACTATAACATGCACTGACCACCAGGGGGCATATGCTCAATGAAGGAGCTACCCCTGGTGGTCAGTGTGCTCCCACAGGGGGAGCGCTGCTCAGCCAGAAGCTGGGCTCATGGCTGGCTAGCACCGCAGCAGTGAGGGGAGCCTCTCCTGCCTGTGCAGCAGCACTAAGGATGTCCATAAGAAGCAGGCCTAAGCCATCAGTCGGACATCCCCTGAGGGCTCCCAGACTGTGAGAGGGTGCAGTCTGGGTTAAAGAACCCATCCCCTTTGAATACACAAATTTCATGAACCAGGTCTCTAGTAAATAATAATAATACAAGAATAACCTCTGCTTGGGTACTCACAACTGTAACCCTACTTTTGCCTCACAATGTGTATATCCTATATTCTGAAGGTCCAGTTATTTGGGTGCAGCAGAAATCTCAATGTGCTTCCTTTGTGTGCTTCCCAGATATCGACCCATGCCAACCCACTGGGTGACAACCTGGAGTCTACAGCCATTTGGAAGGCAGCTTCCTATATACATTGACCCTAACCCTAGATTATAAACTCAGCCTTACATAATCTCATGTAGAAAAATAGGGTTGGAAAGAAGCTTTAAAACCCCCATAAACATCAGCAGGACTTAGCTGAGGTAGAAGTAGAATTATGGCCTCCAAATTTCCTGTGAACCCTAGCATGTTGTAACAATAGTAGTTTATCACTCATAGTCATGAGGGACACTCACAGCAACAGATGGGGAAAAGTACATTGCAAATGCCCCTTTCTCGTTATTGACATAATGAATTTTATTGGCTCCTTTCTAAGAATGATGTGGGGAACTAAGCATTTAATCCGAAGTCCTCATTTTGAATCCCCTTTGCCATTTGTTTGTGGTACATTGAGTCCTTTTTTGAAAAGGCTGGAGATGAAAGACAGTATATCACCATCTGAATGGAAATCAACCATGAGAACTTATGACAGACCCAGGTGAACTGAAAATAGAATAAACAGTCACTATAGTACAAACAGGAAATCACTAATTAGATTTTGAGCTCAGCATAAATGCCTCCTAAATTGCATGTTAATACAGGAACTCACTGTATATTGATTCAATTTTCTTTAATCAAAGGATGCACTGACTAGATGTGTCCTCAGAGGCTTAATTGTGCTCAGCATCCTCCATCCAGCAATGGATGATTAAAATGCAAATGACATCGTGAGCTATCATTTGTATCTATAGAGTTTTGAAAACAGGTTATTCTAAATTATTATTTTTATCTTTTTTCTTGTCTCGACCTTAGCAAAATGTCAAAAATGGCCAGAACTCATTCAGAGCTCAGACAAACAAACACATCAATATGAATTAAACACAAAACCAGGCCCATAACTTTAAGTCCCTGTACCAATCTGACATCACACAATCCTCAGTAAGGATGTGGAGTTGATAAGCCTTTGGGTTGGCTACCGGTGTGACTGAAAGCATGGCCAGCTTTTGACTATTGCACTATATCAGGGGAGAAGCAGTAAGGATCAGAAGAGAGCACAATAAGGGCATAAAGAAACAAAGCCGGGACCAGTTTGGCTCAGTGGATAGAGCATCGGCCTGCGGACTGAAAGGTCCCGGGTTCGACTCCAGTCAAGGGCATGTACCTTGGTTGCGGGCACATCCCCAGTAGGGGGTGTGCAAGAGGCAGCTGGTCGATGTTTCTCTCTCATCGACATTTCTAACTCTCTGTCCCTCTCAATTCCTCTCTGTGTAAAATCAATAAAATATATTTTTTTTAAAAAGAAAGAAAGAAAGAAAGATGAACAGAGGAAAGTAAATGCCTAGTGGGGAACTATTTGCTTGGTAGTGTGGGAAAGGAACAAATTTTCCTTTACTCTCAAGGTTCTTGTGGCTTGTCTAATAATTAAATAGATATGAGACAGATTAGCAAGAGAAAATAACTAAACTTAATACATACATATGTATGGGAATCCTGCATACATGAGAGAATCAGAGATCCCACATGCAGGAAAGGTTCAGAGGTAGAAAGGGAGGTTGAGGTGTATAAGACATCCTGAGGTAGGCATAAGGTAATGCACCTGGGGGCTTCAAAGGTTCATTGCAGGATAATAAGAACAGAAGATTGTCCTGTCCTATAGATGAGTCGAGAAAGAAGTTATCTCTGATGATAATCCCTTATTAGGGACAAGGCCCCCAATTCATGTTCTCCTCAGTAGTTAAAAGGAGGGACAGAAGACTCTCTTGAATGTATAGCTGACGTTGCCTTTAGCTCAACACAATCTGCATACCACAAAGGCACCTCCTGGGGTGACCCATTATGGACTCTCACAGTTGAAATATAACCAAAGCTTTTAACACTTAGACATAAGCCTGACAGGTCATCCTGACATAGCTGAACTCGGTCCATCATCACAATAAACTGAGAACCAATCAGACACACTCAGAACTCAGAAGATTGGGCAAATGTTTATATACTAGTGGCACACTAAAAGGAAATTAATTGGAAGAAATATTTTTTTTAAATATATTTTCTTGATTTTTTTCAGAGAGGAAGGGAGAGAGATAGAGAGCTAGAAACGTCGATGAGGGAGAAACATCGACCAGCTGCCTCTTGCACACCCCCTACCGGGGGTGTGCCCGCAACCAACATACATGCCCCTGACCGGAATCGAACCTGGGACCTTTCAGTCCGCAGACTGACGCTCTACCACTGAGCCAAACCGGTTTCGGCTGGAAGAAATATTTTAATATCACTACTTGCCCTTTCTCTATGAAAGTGTCAACCAAATTCACATTCAACAGTGACAGATGGAAACACACACATGCAATTGGCACCAGCAAGAGCTTTATATGTATTGTGCATGCACGAGTCATGCACAATACATATAAAATCTTAGCCTTTTATAGATATAGAATAAACTTGCTTAATTAGACCTGCTTTCTGATTTAGCTAACCTTTTTCCAGCCCATTGAAGCACCCCAACCAAAAATGAATGAAAGTCAATCAAGCTTCTCCTAAATCAGTGGTTCTCAAAGTGCGGTCCCTGGATAATCAGCATCAGCATCAACCGGGAACTTGTTAGAAACACAAATTCTCAGGCCCCACCACAGGCCTACAGTCAGAAACAGGATGGAGGTCCTGCAATCTGTTTTCCCAAGCCCTCCAGGTGATTCTGATGTGAGCCAAAACTGAGACCCTCTGTCCTCCATTATCTTCCTAAGACTAGAAAAGTGCCCCTTTCCTAGCCCAACTGAAAAAACACCAACAGCTCTTAAGTCGGCTGCTTCTATTTCTAACAGAAAACTGAAAATGATGCATAAATCCTACACTGACCCCCACACCTGAAGCTTTAGGAAAGACAGTCAAACAGAACTTCCCCAATGAACCCTTACCCCGTCACATCCACCCCTTTCCTCGGTGTTTGTGGCCCCATTCTTCCTCTAAGCTCAAGGCTTCTAATTTCATTTTTCTCCTAATTTTATTGTCTTGCCTTATAATCAGGTTCTGCAAAGGATCTTTCTAGGGGATAACTAAGTTAACTCCATGCAGATTTCTATGTCCAATTAGGCAGCATATTGATGCGGCCTCCAGAAAATTAAATTACTAGGGTGTTATTGCATATTTATACCATCGACACCACTCTCATAATTTATAAACTTAATTTTATTTAATCTCCTAAAATGAGCTCCTAATAATTATTTTTTCAGAGGATTCGTGGTATTATTATATTATTTTATGCTTATATAATTTTTCTGGGGATTTCTGGCTATTATAAAGACCCTTTGTTTCCTTCACCTTTAAAACCAAATGGTAATACTAAACTTTCAAGGTCATTTTGAAGACTAGATACAATATAATGTTGTCACTAGCGTGTGCTTAATAAACAATATCTAATATTACTGATATTTCAGCTTATTCTGTTATATCTAAACTTCCTACTAACCCAAAATGCAAATTTTCACTCTAATAAAGTTATGATTAACCAGGAAGAGAAATGGGAACTTAAAATTTTAAATTTAAGAATCTTTAAATACTTGAGAGAACAATACAGTAAAAGAAGCTTTATAGTTCTCTTCTTTAAAACCATAATACACAAGTAGAATGGTTCTTAAGGGCCTATAGGTTGTCACTAGCTAAGTGGGCTTGGAAGATAAAAAATCGCTAACAGAATGGCGCTAGTAGAGGAGGAAGTGCTCACAGGGTGAAGGGGCATGAGGACTAATAGGAAGGGAGCGGCCCCATCCTGCCTCTGCTCTGCAGAGAGGTGTGTGTGGCCTGTGAGCTCACTGCCTGCATTGGAATCTGGCTCTGTCACTTCCCAGCTGTCTGTTCTTGCCTGAGTCACTTAATAGTGCTGCAGCTTGTTTTCCTCATCTCTGAAATGGAGACAGAAATAGCACTTGAACTGCCTGGCATATAAGACTAACGTGTTTGCAAGTGCTTGTATGAGCAAAGTACCATTCTAAGTTCTTTATATGTACATGTACTAATTTACTTAATTCTTATAACAGTCCTAAGAGCTAACATCATTTTGCAGCTAAAGAAACCAAGATACAGCAGAAACCGGTTTGGCTCAGTGGATAGAGCGTTGGCCTGCAGACTGAAAGTTATTTAGGAAGTTTTCCTGGGCACACCAGTTTGGAGAGAGCAAAGGTTTGTTGCAGGAGTGGGGAACATTTTGTCTGCCAAGGGCCATTTGGATATTTATAACATCATTCAAGGGCCATGCAAAATTGTCAACTTAAAAATTAGCTTGCTGCCTGGCCAGGGTGATTCAATGGTTAAGCATCAAACTATGAACCAGAAGGTTACAGTTCGATTCCTGGTCAGGGTATGCTCAGGCTGTGGGCTTAATTCCCAGTAAGGAGTGTGCAGGATGCAGTTTATCAATGATTCCCTCATCATTGATGTTTCTATCTCTCCTCCCTCTCTCTCTGAAATCAATAAAAAATATATATATTTTTTAAAATTAGCCTGCTGTATTTGGTCAAACTTTTAATTAACTCCCCTCAATGCCTTGGCAGGGCCAGACAAAATGATTTCATGGTCCCATGAGCTGGAAGTTCCCCTCCCTGGTTTAGATGAACGGACCCTAATGGCCAGACTATGGTGGACTTTGAATGGCAGACTGGTACTGTCACACGTGTTACCTTTTTTATTCTGACAAAACTATTAGGCAATTCCTATATCCTCGTTTCACAGATGTGGACACAGAAACTCCAATAATTTAAGACCAAAGAACCAGTTAGTTACTGAGAGGGCAGGGCGGGGTGAGGGGGCAGGGCGGGGTGAGAGGGCAAGGTGGGGCGGGTCCAGCTCCAGGTAACTGGACCCTAGGCCTAACCCAACCAATCAGGTCAGCCAAGGTAGCGGCACCACCCTCCCTATAAAACCCATTGATATGTTAAGTTCTTCCTCTTTCTCGCCCATGCCCTCGTTGGTGTGGGTGAGACTGGGCTCGGACTAGTCCGAAATAAATACAGGCTTTCTGCAATTGCATCGGATTCGGCTCCCTGGTAGTCTTTGGGGTTTATGACACTTGGGCATTACATATGGGGGCTCGTCCGGGATCTCCAAGACTGAGGGACTCTGAATCCGGAGAGCCTGTCTGGCCGCGGTAAAAGTGTGTGAAGGGATCCCTGTGGGAAGTGCCCGAGAGGTCTAGCGGACGCGCTATTGAAGGCCACGGGCCGGAGAGATCAAAAGACGTTTTGATCCTCCTTTAGGAGGGACATAGAATTCCCTCTCAGGACGAGGTAGTCGGCGTGAGGCCGTCGTTTGGTTTTAGGCGCCGCTTCCACGAAGTTGGAAGGCTGTTCTTGGGGGCCCCCCCGTCTGTTCCTGTGTTCTTTGTTTGTTTGTTTGTTTGTATGTTTGTATAGGGAAAGGTTTCAGTTTGCTCTTGTTTGTAAATTTGCTATAAAAACTTAACTGAATGTATTGAATTGTTATAATACTGAAAATGTTGATGTGGGGAGTTCTTCTCCTGGGGGCTGTTATAATTTTATGTGTTATTTTATGGACTCACTGTATGGATGTTATGGGACAAACTCAGATTACTCCTTTAAGCACTGTGATTAATCATTTTCAGGAAGTAGAGGCAAGAGCTAATGATTTTAGTATAGAGGTCTGGAAGGACGAATGGCAGACTTGTTGTTCAAGTGAGTGGCCAGCTTTCAATGTCGGATGGCCACCAGAGGGAACATTCGATCTCCCTACCATTCGCCGGGTTCGGAGTGTCGTCTCTCATCCCAAGACAGGTTACCCCGATCAGCTCCCATACATTATAATGTGGCAGGACCTTGTGGAGAACCCACCCTTTTGGCTTAAACACTCTGTGGCTCCGCCCCCCTCGGAGCCAAAACCTATTTTTGCCTTACAGGGAAAGGAGAGGACAGAGAAGAAAATCACCCTGCCATCAGCTCCCCCCTACTCTGTCTTGCAGGGGGGAACTGAAGAAGAATTAATTTTTCCTCCCCCGTATCAGTTCCCTAGGGTGCCGGAGGAGGAAACTGACCCTCCCCCATTGAGGGAAGCAGATGCCACAAGGAGAGCGGGAAGCCCGCCGCATACCAGACAAAGAGCCCAGAGGGAACAAACCACCTTCATCGCAGACTCCACTGTTAAGACTTTACCCCTTCGAGCCACTGGTCCCCCAGATGAGAGGGGCGATCAGCCCCATCACTACTGGCCTTTCGCCACTAGCGACCTTTATAATTGGAAAACTCAAAATCCTGAGTTTTCTAAGAAGCCAGCGGGGCTTATTAATCTGTTAGATTCTATCATTTTTACCCATCAGCCAACCTGGGACGACTGCCAGCAGCTCTTGCAGGTCCTGTTCACCACCGAGGAGAGGGAGAGGATCCTCAATGAGGCCCGGAAGCTGGTTCCAGGCGTGGATGGAAATCCTACCACCAACCAAGCTCAGATAGAAACCTCTTTCCCTCTGACTAGGCCTGAATGGGATTTCAACACAGCAGAAGGTAAGGAGAGGCTCCGGGTCTACCGCCAGGCTCTGATGGGGGGTCTCCGGGCGGCTGCCAGAAAACCGACTAATCTGGCTAAGGTAGGCAGCGTACAGCAGGAGAAGGATGAATCTCCAGCAGCCTTTTTAGAGCGGATCATGGAGGCATTCCGCACCTATACCCCCATGGATCCAGAGGCTCCTGAGAGTAAGGCAGCTGTTATTGTAGCCTTTGTAAACCAGTCTGCTGCAGATATTAGGAGAAAATTGCAAAGAATAGATAGACTGGGAGAGAAGAGTCTGCAGGACTTGTTGGTGGTGGCTGAAAAGGTGTACAATAACCGGGAGCCCCCTGAAGATAAACAGGCTCGCAGGCAGACTCCAGACCTGGCTAGGATCCTGTGGGCCGCCACTATGGATTCCCCTGAGAAACGGGACCTCCGCCTCCGACAGCTTGCAAACGATCGAAAGAAGGGTAAGGAGACCTCCGGGGAAGGGAAGTGGAAACTGCAGAAGGACCAATGTGCATACTGCAAGAAGATAGGGCATTGGGCTCAAGAATGTCCTAAGAGAGGCAGTGGGAAGGGGAGCAAGAGAGACCGAGTAAAGGTCTTGGGGCTTGATGAACTAAGTGATTAGGGGAGTCAGGGTTCGGACCCCCTCCCCGAGCCCAGGGTAACTCTTAGAGTGGAGGGGACCCCTGTGGACTTCCTTGTTGACACCGGAGCGCAGCATTCGGTCCTCTGCACTCCACAAGGAAAACTAACTAGCAAAAAGTCCTGGGTGCAAGGGGCAACTGGTATGAACCAGTATTCATGGACTACCCGAAGAACAGTGGATTTAGGGATGGGCCGGGTAACCCACTCCTTCATGGTAATACCGGAATGCCCCTACCCACTGTTAGGACGGGACTTACTGACCAAGATTGGAGCTCAGATAACTTTCAGACAAGGGGGGCCTCAGGTCACCGATGGCGAGGGCCACCCCATCCACGTTCTGACTCTGAGGCTAGAGGATGAGTACCGCCTCCACCAGGAGGCACTCCCAAGGGGGGATAACATGGATAGATGGCTACGAGAATTCCCCACAGCCTGGGCAGAGACAGGAGGGGTAGGACTAGCTGCTCACAGGACCCCAGTCCTAGTGGAGCTAAAGCCAGGAGAAGGTCCAGTAAGGATCAAACAGTACCCCATGTCTCAGGAGGCCCGGGAGGGAATTCAGCTACACATCCAGAGACTGCGGAGTCTAGGGGTGCTGGTTCCCTGCCAATCTGCCTGGAACACCCCCCTACTGCCGGTCAAGAAGCCTCACACAAATGATTACCGACCGGTGCAAGACCTCCGGGAAGTAAATAAAAGAGTCATGGACATACACGCAACTGTCCCCAATCCGTACACTCTCTTGAGCTCCCTGGTGCCCACCAGAATCTGGTATACTGTATTAGATTTAAAGGACGCCTTCTTCAGTCTGCCGCTAGCACCCAGAAGCCAACCCTTGTTTGCCTTCGAGTGGCATGATCCAGAGGAGGGCTACAGTGGACAACTCACCTGGACACGACTGCCTCAGGGGTTCAAGAATTCGCCCACCATCTTTAATGAGGCACTACACGAAGACCTGGGTGAGTATAGAAGGGAGCACCCTGGCCTCACCCTCCTACAGTACGTAGATGACATCCTGATTGCTGCCGACACGGCCAAGGACTGTGAAGAAGAATTAGAGCGAATCAAAAGCCACCCCACAAACAAGGAAGTCAGGGGCTGGTGGTATGCTCCAGACGGGAAGCTCCTGCTACCAGACCAGCTTGGGATCCCGATGTTGAAACACATACACCAATCGACGCACCTAGGGTCCCGGAAACTAAAGGATTTGGTCCGGCATGCTAAGATCAAAATTCACCAGCTGGACGCCAGAATAGATCAAATTGTATCAGCCTGTAAAACTTGCCAGCTTACAAATGCAAGGGCCGGGTCAAGTGGAAAAGGAACCCGGCTCAGAGGAACAAAGCCCGGGGTGCACTGGGAGATTGACTTCACTGAGGTAAGGCCGGGAAAGTATGGCTATAAATACCTTCTAGTTTTTATAGATACCTTTTCTGGATGGGTAGAAGCATATCCAACTAAGCATGAAACAGCCCAGATGGTTGCTAAGAAGCTACTGGAGGACATTCTACCCAGGTACGGTTTCCCAGCTGTGATAGGATCGGACAATGGCCCGGCTTTCATCTCACAGGTAACACAGGCAGTAGCCAAGGCCATAGGGGCAAATTGGAAATTACATTGTGCGTATAGGCCCCAAAGCTCAGGACAGGTAGAAAGAATAAATAGAACATTAAAAGAGACCCTTTCTAAATTAACCATAGAGACTGGCGGGGACTGGGTGGCTCTCCTTCCCTATGCTCTTTACCGGGTGAGGAACTCACCCTATACCCTAGGCTTCACTCCCTATGAAATTATGTTTGGTAGGCCCCCGCCTATCATTCCCAATCTTAAGGCAGAACTGCTAACTGAATTTGAAAACCAAGAAATATCTTTTTCTTTAAGAAGGCTCCAGAGGGCACATGAGGACATTTGGCCACGCCTACAGGCCATCTACGAGGCTGGCCCGATCCCAACGCCCCACCAGTACCGGCCGGGAGACTGGGTCTTTGTCAAAAGACACCGCTGGGAGACGCTTGAACCAAGTTGGAAAGGACCATACATCGTAGTGCTGACGACGCCCACCGCCCTCAAAGTGGATGGCATTGCGACCTGGGTCCACCACACCCATGTTCGGCCAGCTGACTCCTCTGCGATCCGGAAAGACTTCGCCAACGGATGGAGCATCGACCGAGACCGAGACAACCCCCTCAAGCTCAAGTTACGGCGTACTCAATCTGCCTGATGAAATTTTGTTTGCAGCCAGCTGCAGGAGTCCCCACCCCCCATACACTGGTTCGAGAGGGGGAGGAGGGAGGACTCACTTCTGCCCTGGACACTCCTGACCCCGCTGTGTCATCTTGTGTCCCCCTGGACACATCTCGTGGACTCCCCCAAAATGTCAGATCAGGGCACCGGGAAGGAGGAACTTTATGCACCCTTCAGAAGTGCATACGGTCCCATGATTGGGCCTGTTAATTCTCAAGACAAGGGGGGAATGAGAGGGCAGGGCGGGGTGAGGGGGCAGGGCGGGGTGAGAGGGCAAGGTGGGGCGGGTCCAGCTCCAGGTAACTGGACCCTAGGCCTAACCCAACCAATCAGGTCAGCCAAGGTAGCGGCACCACCCTCCCTATAAAACCCATTGATATGTTAAGTTCTTCCTCTTTCTCGCCCATGCCCTCGTTGGTGTGGGTGAGACTGGGCTCGGACTAGTCCGAAATAAATACAGGCTTTCTGCAATTGCATCGGATTCGGCTCCCTGGTAGTCTTTGGGGTTTATGACACTTGGGCATTACAGTTACAAAACCTGTCATCAAATCTTAATCTTCATACGGGTAAAATAGTTATTTTGATAGCCAACACATTCATCTTCCCCCACAATGCCTCAGTGAGGAGAGGTTAGTATTCATATACCGAAGTCATTTCCAACCTCTCACCAACACACACACACACACACACACACACACACACACACACACGTGCTTAGATTCTTTGTGTGGCTTGAACTTTCCTATGTATACTGTTGAGAAGGAAAACCCCTATTTTGTAAAAAAAAAAAAAAACAAAAACTGCTGTTTGGAATTTTCTGCTGTTTTTTTTTAGATGGCCTCTTATTCTAAAAAAAAAAAAAAAAATGTTTGCTTTCTAGCCTGCTTTAGTCTGCTTGAATAATGAGGAAGATAAACTTAGCTGTCTGACCTTGTAGGCCAGAGACTAGATATGCCCATACTCTCAATGCCATGCCAGATGCATATTTTAATTGGATAGAATTGTGTTGTTTTCAAGGCCAGCAGCGAGATAACCACTAAGTGCACATAGGGCTGGCTCTTTAATAAAAAGGGAAGTTCTGCTTGTAGCCTTACTTAGAATTTGAATTCATTTTCTCTAAGCCCACCACGGTGAATAAAGTGAATCTCCAAACTCTCCTCCATTGTTTGATTGTTCGGGATCTCTGTAACACCGTAGGCACTAACAGCTGAATTTACTATTTGATCTCTCCATGGGATGTAGTTTCCAAGCAAAGCCCGTCCCTGAATCCCACAGGCTCTGAAAATGCAAGCGTGCAAGGCACAATCATGTAAAATACAAGCTCTATTCCACTTACTTTGAAATATTGTCAAAAATTGCTTCTGTTAGAGTGCAGGCTTTGGAAATGAAAAAGGTCTATGGGGCGTGGCCGTGTTGCTGGAGCTGATGGGCAATCATTGCTGTAGGCTATGGGTGGAAGTCAGCAAAGCAGAGAGCCCACCACAGGGAGCCTTTAGACAGGATAAACATAAGAATGTGAGGGAGCCAACAATCGGAGCAGCAGATACGTGCTCAGGAAGGACCAAGTTAAGACAAAACTTTCCTCCAACCTCCACTCCAGGCTCCAACTCTTCCTCTGATGAATAAGACGCTCCCCCTGTGCTTGGCGTCTCCTCGAGGAAACCTGCTCAAATGGAGGTAACCTTGAAATGTTTACAATTTAAGTATCTTCAATCCAATTACAGTGACTTCACTGCAATTAGGTTAAGTGTACAATCTACTTTGGATACTAACCAATCTCCAGCCTAGAGGTTTGGATTTTTTTCATTCACATTTCTATCATATCCTTTTTAGTATCTATTTTTAGCTTTTTCTCCACAACTTCCCTCAGAAAATGGGGCAGCATTCCCAACTGACTCTGTCTTAATGGCTACCATTTCTCTCTCTCTCTCTCTCTCTCTCTCTCTCTCTCTCTCTCTCTCTCTCTCTCTCTCTCTTCCTTTTTAAGCCCACTTGCTTCTATTATGTAATCATGGCTATAAAAATAAGCCCTTGCTTCACTAAATCATGCACCAATCATTTGAGACAATGAGCGGAGTGTATTACATGTCAGAGCTTTTTAACAAGTATTCACCATAGAGAAGGTCATCCTGGTCTCAATGCCTTTGGGCAGGCCATGACATGTGCTCAGAGCTCCCCCAGCTCTCAAATTCTATCCGTTTTGTCTGGGCTTGACAGGAGTACTGCCTTGTTTTTGACACTGGATTCTGCTCCTTTCCGGTCCTTGGCCCAAGGAGAGTCTGTCTGTTCACAGGTGTGCACAGGCATGTGATTGTTTTATGTTAACTTTGGAGCATTTTGTTTCATTTCTACACCTTGAATTTCAATAATTTTCGCACCACTTCTTCCTGCACAGATGGTCCTCGGAAGACATTTTGCTTTCCCATACCTTTGAACCTTTACATGTTAGTCTCTCCACCAAAGACACTGCTGTCCTAGGAAATATTTCCTGGAAAGCCTTTCCTAAATATCCCCTCAGGTGTGCAAATGCTTCTTTGTGCGCTCATGGCACTTCATACATGTGACTAACCTTTAGGGCAATCTTCGCACTGGATTAGATCCTTGTTGGCATGTCAGTTTTAAGAGACACTTAGGTCCTTGAGAAAAGGGACTATATTAGTCAGGGTTTCCAGGGAAACACAACCAATAGGATATATGTAACTTATCCTATTATCCTCCAGAGAAATAGAATCAATAGGATAAATATAATAGGATATAAGTGTGTGTGTGTGTGTGTGTGTGTGTGTGTGTAAAAATTGGCTCATGTGATTGTGGAGGCTTGGTGAATCCAAAATCTGACAGGGGAGGCTGACAGGCTAGGGAGTCGGGGGAGAGCTCAAGTCCAAAAGCAACCCTAAAAGCTAATGTTGAGATGAAGTCTGAAGGCAGTTCACTAGGAAGTTTCCCTTGATCGGGGGAATAGGCCAGTTTTTTGTTCTATTCAGGCCTTCAACTGATTGGATGAGGCCCACCCACATTATGGAGGGCAATCTGCTTTATTCAAAGTCCATCAACTTAAATGTAAATCTCATCCAAAAATACTCTTGGAAAAAGAAAAACCCAGAATAATGTTTGACTAAATATCTAGGCACATAACAAATTGACACAGACATTTAACCATGACAGGGACTCTGTCACATTTGTCTTTGACATCCTCAGCACTCAGCAAAGGCTTAATATGCAGGGTGTGGTTTTTTGTTTTTGTTTTTAATGAATGATGTCCAGTGAATACAGAAGCAACTTTTTGAAAGACTTGAAACATCCAGTTCAGTATGACCCAAGCATTTTCTTTTTTACTTATTAGTATAATTACAAAAACCTCTTAGAATAGTGGCAGTGTTTTATTTAGAGATAGATAAATAATTTTGACCTATAGGCAAAAATGTTAGGAGCAAATACTATGAAGAATACAATAAGCCTGTGGCCAGGGAAAAGTAAGGATAAGACATGCTCACCCTAAAGCTAAGACCATGTGACTTTTCCTCTTATGGCTCTTCTCCCTTACTAGGCCCCTGAGTGGGAATAGAAATATATCCAACAAAACTTTTAAAATAATCCTTGGACACAGACCACACCTACTCTGCTACCCCTGTTGCCCTCAAAAACACATGAACCACAAGTAGAGACTGTAATTGATGGAGTTCAGGGCTTTGTTCAATACATTCAGAGAAGCCACCTCTCCATTTTCCCATCCTTTAGTCTGAATTGGACTCTTCAAACTTTGCATGTGGCCCCTGGAGCCAGGGTGAGAAAAGAGGGGTTTGGAGGTGTCACTAAAAACTTTACTAAGATTATTCTTAAAAGTAATAGAATGTCCTTGAAAGACCTATAATGGCTTAGCAGAGAGAAACATGAGGGCATTCTATCTGACCAGTAATGGGGGGAAATGCTCCTGGAGTTGAGCGGAGGTTTATTGTTATTTTATTTATTGCACACTTTTTAAATGGAATCGGTGAACTGAGCTCCTACCTTGGGACTCATTTTTTGTGATTTTAATATGGCTTCATAATTTTCAAGAAGAACAAAGTGTGTTGAAACCGGTTTGGCTCAGCGGTAGAGCATCTGTCTGTGGACTGAAAGGTCCCAAGTTCGATTCCAGTCAAGGGTATGTACATTGGTTGCGGGCACATCCCCGGTGGGGGGTATGCAAGAGGCAGCTGTTTCTCTCTCACCGACATTTCTAGCTCTCTATCTCTCTCCCTTCCTCTCTGTAAAAAATCAATAAAATATATATTTTTTTTAAAGAAGAAGAGCAAAGTGTCTGAGCACTTACTTATTCATTCAGAACACATTTGCTGAGGCCCTGTGTTAAGCCATGAAGATAAATATGACCCAACTTTGCCTTCAAAATCTCAGTGAGTGGAGGCAGCCATATTTGAATGTAAAATATTTTATAACAAAAAGCTGGAAACCAACCAAATGTGTCTATCCATCAAAGAGAGAATAGAAAAATAAATATGGAGTAGGCCCATAGTCTTTAAATTTTGGAAACTGAAAGTGACTTCATAATTATTTGGCAAAAGAGCCTGACATGAATTAATACACTAGTTAGTGTCTTTATTTCACTTAGAATGAATATTTTTACATTTCAATCAGAAACATTCGCCCTGGCTGGCTTGGTTCAGTGAATAGAATGTCAGTCTACGAATTGAAGGGTCCCAGGTTCACTTCCAGTCAAAAGCAAATGCCTGGGTTGTGGGCTCTATCCCCAGGGGACAGCCGATCAATTTTTGACCTATAGGCAAAAATGTTAGGAGTAAATACTATGAAGAGTACTCTTTCATCATTGATGTTTTTATCTCTCCTTCCCTCCTTTTTCCTTTCTGAAGTCAATAAAAATATACTTTTTAAAAAAAGAAATATTCATGTGTCTGATTACAAATGTTTCTCTATGACTCTAATAGGGGGGTAGGGGGAGAGATACTATGTGATTGATGGAATTGCATAATATCCATATTTATCCTATTACCTTTCTAAAAACAAGCAAAAAGACTATGGGCCCCAGAGAATTTTAATAACGTTTTAAGGACCTGTACACTCATTGCACCGGAAACAAAAATGAATGAGTTACAGTTATATATATCAACATGGATGAATCCCAAAAACATGTTGAGTGAAAGAAATGAAGTCACAAGAGAAAATATTCAGCATAATACATGCTTCCTAAAGTTCAAATTCTAACAAACTTTACATGGTATTATCTAGCAATGCATACATTTTACCAGCAACTAAAATTGTAACTTAAAGCAAAGGAACCTTAAATACAGGTTCTGAGGGGTGGCTCTCTTTGTGGGGAGGGGTCCACAGCTTCTCAGTGATAGAGCGGGTGGTGCCTTGGCAGCACTCTGGCACAGATGCTTACCGGAGCCTCCACAGGCCAGGGGAGGGGGCAGGCCAGGAAGAGAGCCAGGTGGGGTGGGAGATGAGGTTATGGGTTGGGCTCTACTCACGGGGAGGCTACTGTAGTCCTCATACAATGACTTCTTCCCGAAATTGCAATGTGGAATCTGTGTCTAACAAGACTGTTGACACAGTTTTCTACGTTTTTATTTCCCTTTGCCCTAGATTTAACCTCACATTTCCTGACTACACAAAATTAGTTGGTTCAGGTAGGAGCTGTCACTGTCAATAGGGGATGGGCTAAAAATAAAGGCTGCGATTGTAGGGGGTGCTCTGATGTAAAAGGATGCAATTAATTAACTCCACTTCAACAGGAAGTCCAGGTATAAGTGATTCATCTCTAAGTTTACAATCCTGATTTTATGAGCATTTCCAACAGTTATGGAAATTGCAAATGAGCATGCAAACCAACTTGATATTCAGAACAGTTAGCTTCATTAAACACTAATCACAATTTATACCCATGGTCCCATACCTCATTCTAATTTTGCACTCAGAAGCTGCCCTACTGAATCTGACTATGATGGGTGGACACTGAGGATGGAATCACAAACTTCTTAAATGTCATAAGTTTTACATCTTGGCAATGCCCTCAGTAGTACTTGGGGGAGATACAGGCACGATTGGAAACAGCAGATGATGAAAAGCAATATTTATCACATAGTCCTGATTGTAATGCACTGAAGATTTTTATCCATCTATCCAGCCATTCATCTACCCACCTGCTCATTCTTTCCTTAGACAATGTGCCAGGCACTGGAGTTAGAAAGTTGAATATGGTCTTGGCCTCCTGTTATAAGAGTATACAAACAATTATAAGCAATATAGTAAGGGTTGTGATGGGGTGAGCATAAGGGCACCCACTGGACAACTCTATAGAATTAATAGACTATTTATTTATAGCATAAAATTTCATAGCTGCTCCCTGGAGGTGTGCATTAGAAGAACCTCAGATGCTGCTGAAATACAAGGAAGGGTTGGGCAAGAACAGAGAAAACTCTATTAGAAGCGGTATCAACCTGAGTTTTGAAGAACTGGCCATGTGAAAGAGGGAAAAGGAGACATGCATGAAGGAAGGTAGAGTTCTGTTTTTCATGAAATAAAGTTTATTCTTCAGTTGGAATAGTTTAACCAAAAAGATGTCATGTCTACTTCCTATCAGTTCCCTTTGTTCTTGAGAAAATTTCAAGTGTTGATAATCTGCATATTCCAGTGGTTCTTTTTGTGTGTTTTCTTTCTTCACCATTGATCCCCTCCATGCCCTCTTCCACCTCCACCCATCTCCCACAATCACCACGTGGTTGTCCCTCCAAAAAGTTCTCTCTCTCTTTTTTTTTCTTTTTTTGCTCAATCCCTGCACCAAATATATTTTTTATTGATTTTAAAGAAAGAGAGAAAGAATGTGGTAGAGGGCAAGAGAGAAAAAGTGAGAAAAATTCATCAGTTGCCTCCTGTATGTACCCTAACTGGTGCCCGCACTGGGGATCAAACCTGTCGCCTAGACATGTGCCCTGAGCAGATTACCAGTGACCCCTCAGTACAAGGGATGATGCTCAACCAACTGAACCACACCAGCCAGGGCAAATGATACACATTTTTGAGAAGCATTTCCTATACTTTCTCACATGTACAAATCCTCTGTATCACTTTCAAAGAAACCACCAGACAATAATTCTGGCTTCAGTAAAATAATTAGAAGTTATCATGTGTAGTGGATTTTATTACTGGTGAGAATTACACAAGCATATCCCACTTTGTCTAATAACAACTGAAACCTAGAAGGGACAATGCTCAACAACTCAAAGGAATAAATAAACAACATTGATATTGAACCAAAATGCCCCCTGGCAAAATAAACCTTCACTTTCCCTTTTAAAAACCCTGAACTATTGTTTCAGCAAAGCATTTCTGCGTCATAGAATTGAATGAAAAGACATCCTTCAGTATTAGTAAAAGTTCTCCAGAGAAACAGAACCAATAGAATGTAGAGAGAGAGGGAGAGAGAGATTAAGGAACTGGCTCACACGACTGTAGATCCAGCAAGTTCAAAATTTGCAGGACAAGCTGGAAGGCTGAAGACTCAGGGAAGAGTTGATATTGCTGTCCTGTGTCCAAAGGCCATCTGGGATTTATCTTTTCCCTTAAGGCCTTCAATTGGTTGAATGAGGCCCATCACATTATGGAGGATAATTTTTTGTATTCAGCCAACTGATTTAAATATTAATCATATCGCCAAGCTATGAACCAGGAGGTCATGGTTCAATTCCTGGTCAGGGCACATGTTGGGTTTGTGGACTCAATCCCTGGTGTGGGGAGTGCAGAAGACAGCTGATCAGTGATTCTCTCTGATCATTAATGTTTCTCTCTCTCCCTAACTCTTCCCCTCTGAAATCAATAAAAATATATTTTTAAAAAATAAATAAATAGTAAATGTTAGTTATATCTAAAAATATATCTTCACAGCAACATCTAGATTGGTATTTGACCAAATAACTAAGTACCACAGCCTACTCAAACTGGCACAAACGATTAACCATCACATTCCATATCCCCAAATCTCAGTAAATAGCAGCACCATGCACCCAACTGTCCAAGTAAGAAATATGAAATCTAGATCTTTCTTCTTTCCTTACCCCACATACCCAGGTCCCCAAAATACTAATTTTTCTCCAAATTTTCTAGACTTAGTTCCTCTTCTTCACCTCATGTCTATTGCCAAACCAATGTCTTTTATCTGATTTATTAAAATGACCTCTTAAACCCCTAGTCAGTTGGGCTCAGTGGATAGAGCATAAATCCACAGACCGAAAGGCCCCAGGTTTGGTTCCAGCCAAGAGCACATATCTCGGTTGTAGACTCAATCCCCAGGGGCAAGTGTAGGAGGCAACCAATCAATGTGCTTCTCTCACATAGATGTTTCTCTCTCTCTCTGTCTCTCCCCCTCCCTTCCACTCTCTAAAAAAATCAATGGAAATATATCCTTGAGTGAGGATTCACAACAAAAAAATGATCGTCTAACCTAGGGGTGTCGAACTCAATCAGAGAAGGGGCCAAAATCTAAAATCCAGCCTAAATCGCAGGCCGAATGGTTTACTGAACAGTCATAAACTGTCATTGTGATGGAAACGCAGCGGAGTGCAGTGATGACAGTGCGGTGCGGGCCACATTGCAAGGCCTGGCGGGATGGATTTGGCCCGCGGGCCTTGTGTTTGACACATGTGGTCTAACCTGTCCCCTTATCTTGAATGTCATCTTCATTTTAAATTTTGAAACCATTAAGTTAATTTCCCATCTTAAAATACTTCAGTGATTCATTGTTTTTAAATAAAATCTAAGCTCCCTAAATCATAGACTACAGGCCCGTTATGATTTGACCCTGGCATGGCCTACCTGACCAGCTTCATTTCCCACCACTTACCCTTACTCACCCCAAAACTAGACAGCTATCTGCTTAACTTGGTTATTTGCCAGAGTACAATGAATTCAGAGTACAGCCAAGTACAGTAGAATTTAAAATAAATGGTTCCAATTGATCTTCTACAATTAGAGTTCTAAAATGTCATGATAAAATGCCTTGAAGTAGGTTTCTTTTTTATTCACTGTGCTGAGCACTCAGTGAATTCTTTCTATCTGCAAATTTATATCTTTCAGTTTTAGAATTTTTTTATTTTCTTTCTTGAATAATTTTTTCTCTCTCCTTCTTGGTTCAGAATATATTTGCAAATAATATTCAGGATACTGATATTCAATTAATCAGCTATAAGACCTCTTGACATATCCTCTAATTACATCTCTTTTTCCCTCTATATTCAATCTTTATCTGACAGTCTGGTTTCTAGTAGCTCAGTGGGAGTAAGATAGTTTGTGCCTCACTGTCCAATATGTAAACTTCCACTTAATTCTACTATTTTCAATAAGATGTGTGTCTCCCACTGTTCCTGGTGTCTTGAGTGTAGAGTCTGTCTGATTCAATTTCTCCAAATAACAAACTCTTTCCCCTTGTTTACTGATATGTGAGAGGTGGTTGGCTGATGGCATGGGGTTCAGAAAGGAATCTAGGGTTTTCCTTCTCCTCTATCTTGTGAGGCATCTGGTACTTCCAATTCCTCAGCCTTTCTGGAGTTTTAGAATTGAACTGATTTCTTCTTGTCATCTCCTTCTGCAGGATTCCATAAATTGTCTAAATAATATATCAATAGTAAAGCATTTAAGAGATCAGGACCTATAGCCATGGTTTAAATCTTGGCCCCTATACCTTCTAGACATTTCACTACAGACAAATTACTTAACATCTGTGTTTCAGTATTTTTATTTATAAGTGGAGGTCATTATAGTGCCTACCTTTTAAGGTTTTTATACCTAAAGGATGAAATAATACCTTTAACACATTTAGAGAGGTGAAAGAGTTGTACATTAAGGGTTCAAGATGACGGCGCCCAGAGGTTCCACGAGCGACGTGGAGAGCAGCAGCGGCAGCAGTGACGCCGAGGAGCTGGCGCGGTGCCGGCCTGGGGCCTGGAGCAGCGCCCGGAGGCGCCGGAGAAGCGAAGAGCCGATGCTACAAATTATCAGTTGCCAACTGCCCAGCCGAGCCTCAGGCATAAGGTGGATGAGCACGAACAAGATGGCAATGAGCTTCAGACCACCCCCGAATTCCGGGCCTACGTGGCCAAGAAGCTGGGAGACCTGCTGGACAGCTCCATTACCATCTCAGAAGCTGTGAAGGAACCAGCAAAGGCTGAGGCACAGAAAGCCACCCCAGAGGATGATGGCTTCCGCCTCTTCTTCACCTCCGTCCCCGAAGGCCCCGAGGGGAAAGCTGCTCCCCGGCCCCGCCGCCGAAAGCGCCTGCCTTCCCACTCCAGCAGTGAGGACAGTGAGGAGGAGTGGCAGCGGTGCCAGGAGGCAGCTGTGGCCGCCTCTGCCATTCTGCGGGAGTCCGCCATCCATGGTCCTGTCCAGGTGGAGAAAGAAACGAAGAAGAAGAAAAGGAAGTTGAAAAAGAAAGCCAGGAAGGAGGCCAGCACGGACTTGACCGCCGCCACCACCATCACCGGCACGGCCACCGCCGGGAAGCAGGAAGAGGAGTCCGCCACGCTCCACGGAGACCTTGTGTCACCTGGGAGCAAAAAGAAGAAATGGAAGGAAAAGGCCAAGAAGGCCACTGAGGCTTCCCCACTCCCGCCATCGAAGAGCGCAGCAGCCGCGCCTGCGCACTGACCAGGTGGCGGCGGGGCCCAACCGGCCCCAGGACGCGGTGCCCCTGGGACGGGCATTTCCAGGCGCTGCCGCCCTCCACGTCAGGGACTTGGCTGCACGTCCAGACTCTGCCCGTGACTGGGCTTGCCCACGAGTCGGGGAAAGCCCTGGTTGTGGAGTGAGAAGCCTGAGTAAGGCCGCCCTCCTGTGCTCCCTGGGCGCCGGGCAGACTGTGGAACCAGGACGTCTGTGGAGCCGTCCAGTCAGTCAAGGCTGACAGCCGAGTGGTGGCGCTCCCATCTCCCCAGGGCTGTCAGGGAGGTGCGTGAGGGGAGACCGAACCCCATCCTCAGCCTGCTGTGGGAGACAGCCTGAAGAAAATGCGGGAAGAGGTCCTTGAGGTGTCAATGTCCAAAGTGCCATGTAGACTGGATAGAACTGTCTGAGGAAGGAGAGATCTCCCTCCTCATTTTCCAGAACTTTCTACATTTGGGAACATAACCACACAGGATCATCTCCCAACCAGATTGTGGAAAAGTAAGGGTCAGACCCAGCACGTAACTAAGTGATGGGGTGCTGCCTCCAGCAGTGCTGAATCCTGATGAGACATTTTAAATCGGCACCACAGGAGGGTCCCTGCCCGGCCGCGGCTTATGGGAGAGTCACGGGCCTGGTGGACTGGCTTCGCTGGGCTTCGTGCATGAGGCCTATTCAAGGAGCAGAAGGCCAAGGTGAAGGTAACATTCTGGCATCGTAGATTCAGCAGAGCAAGAACGACAGGTGGCCCCTGAGAGTCTGTGTGTGCTGGACCCATCTCTCCTCCAGCCCCTGGCCCACCTCCGCCCCTCTGCCTGCCCAACCCCATCTGGGCAATGAAGGACAAGTAAGGAGTTTCCAATACGTTCCTCGTTTACTTTATTAAAAGTTAAATAATGAAAAAAAAAAAAGTTGTACATTAAAAACAAGAAAATATTGCTGAAATAAATCTAAGAAGACATCATGTGTTCATGAATTGGAAGATGTGAATACTACCTAAAGCAATCTATAGATAAGTGAAATCCTTACCAAAATCCCTGTAGCATTTTTTCAATAAGTGGAAAATCCCATCCTAAAATTCATATGGAATCTCAAGGGACCCTGGAGACCCAAAACAATCTTAAAAAAGAATGAAGTTAAATATCTCATATTTTCTGATTTCAAAAGATACTACAAAGTTACAGTAATCAAAACATTGTGTTAATGGCATTAAGACAGACATATAGACCAACAAGATGGAATAAAGAGTCCAGAAATTTGGACCAGGGTGCCAAGGTCACTTTTTCAATAAATGGTATTGAAATAACTGATATTTACATGCAAAAGAATGAAGTTAACTCCAAATGAATCAAAGACCTAAATATAAGACCCTAAAACTGTAAACCTTGAGAAGAAAACATAGGGGAGAAAACCTCATGACATTTATTTTCCAACTTCTGACCCCGTGCACAGACTCATGCACATTGGAAGGAAATTGATTAGAATAAATATTTTAATATCTCTATTCGCCCTTTCTCTACAATAGAATTGTCAACCAAATTCACAATCAACAATAGCAGATCGAAACACATCCATGGGTCATTGTTCCTATGCCAAGATCTCGCCAGTTGCAGGGCTGACTGACAGACACAATGGAGTTTCCATCAGCATGGCCTTTATTGAAGGTCAGATAAAGAGCTTCACAAACAAGAAAAAAACTAAAGGAATTCATCACCATCAAACCAGTATTACATGAAATGTTAAAGGATATTCTTTAAGGAGAGGAAGAAGGAGGAGGAGGAGGAGGAGAGGAGGAAGTAGAGAAGGAGAAGATATAAAATATGAACAATAAAATGCAACAAATACATATTTATCAATAATTGAATCTAAAAATCAAAATAAACAAAAAATCTAATTACCAAAATAAACTGGTGAATAAAACAGAATCAGAGACATGGAAGCATGGAACAGACTGATGAATCTCCGAGGTAAGGAAGGTGGGATAACCAAAGATCTTACATACAGACACAGAGAGTAGAATGGTGAAGCCCTGGGGTGGGGTGGAAACCAGATAGGGGAGCAAAGCGGGAATAAAGGGAGACATCTGTAATACTCTCAACAATAAAGTTTTTTTAAATTATAACAGGCAAAACTAAAAAAAAAAAAAAAAAAGGCAGCCCATGGAATGAGAGAAAATATTTGCAAATATATATATGATAAGTGGTTAATATCTAGAATATATAATAAATTCCTACAACTCACAATAACATGATTTTAAAATGGGGGAAAGGCCCGGCAGGAGGCTGGTAGGCTGGTATGGCTCAGTGGTTGAGCATCGACTTATGAACCAGGAGGTCATAGTTTAATTCCTGGTCAGGGCACATGCCTGAGTTGCAGGCTCGATCCCTGGTAGGGAGCATGCAGGAAGCAGCACATCAATGATCCCCTCTTATCACTGATGTTCCTATCTCTTTCACCCTCTCCTTTCCTCTCTGAAATCAATAAAAATATTTTTTAAATAAAAATAAAAAATGGAGGAAAGGCCTAAATAGACATTTCTCCCAAAGAAGATATACAAATTTCCTTTCCCCATCTGGCTTCTGTCCCAGAGAAACAACTCTACCTCCTCAGTTATCTCTAGTGAGAAAGAAATCAAACTTTTGCTTTGGGTCATCATCAGTACCTTAAAGAGACTGTCCTGCTCTCCATAAAAACACTTGAGCACTTTCTATAAACCTAGTTAACCGTCCCATGTACCTTAGGGCTCTTGAATATAAAAAAAATCTTTACTTTCCCAGATGGTGTTGAAAGTCCAGGACGGCCTTTAGGCCTCACAGATTGACAGACATCCAATGGCTGCTCCCTCCCTACTGTTCAAATCACAGACCAGAGAGACTGACCTTCCTGCTCCCCAGGTGTTTGGTGCTAAATCACAGTCCCTTAGAAAAATCAACTCTCTGAGAGGCATCAATCATTTCTCTACTCGTGGATAAAATGTTTTCTCTACTCTTCCTGGGCAGGAAGCTCTCTCAAAAGTGATCTGTATTCTAAGGTGACTCCTTCCAATCTTCCCTCTCATGGAAACATCTTTCCATCCAGCGTTCCAGCCTGGGCACTTCTCCTCATGATTTATTCTGGTTTTCAGACAGCTCAGAAGTCATGTCATTCACTTCCAACTTTGCATTTAGAAAGAAAACCGAGGCTCAGAGAGGAGGTAGGGCATGACCAAGAGGCAGCGCTCCCACGGCCTGGTTCAAGTCTGGATTCCTGTCCAGCTGCCTGTCCCACCCAAGGGCAACCATGTATTTTCAAGACTACAGAGCATCTTAAGAAACTAAGCTTTAAGGCTCTCCTTCTTTTGTGCTATGTGAGCCTGACTGGGTTACTCACCTTGCTCTTCAAGATGTGGTCCCCAGACCAGCAGCCTTGGCAATACAAGGGAAATGCAGAATCTCAAGCCCTATGTCAGACCTACTGGATTAGAATCTGATTTGAAAGAGATCCCCAAGTGATATGTACATTCAAGTTTGAGGAACACTGACTTAAATGATCGGAGTCTCAATATCTTCATCTGTTAAGTGGGATGATAGTAACTACACCTCATGAGATTGCTCCAAAAAGTAACAGTAACATAACTTGCAAGTTATAAGATGCCTTGATTTGAGAGCTCTGAGATTTTCTTCAAGGAGCTTTCGAGCTCAGCCATCTGGCAGAACTAAAATAAATGAAATCTCCACACACTGCTTCAATTGAATCCATATATCTTATAACTTATGGTAATGATTACTGCAGGAGCTAGAGAAAAATTCAAATTAAGGAATAACATATTTAGATGTTTGCTCTTGGGTGAGACTGCCTGGGTTTGCTCATTTCCTAGAGAGGCAAACTTGAGAGAGTCATTTATCTTCATTAACCCCAGTTTTTGCATCTGTAAAGTGAGGATGGTAATGCATCGTATGATGATGAGAATTCAATGAGATAATCCATGGGAAGCACTTAGCCCAGAGCCTGACCCATGGGACCTCTGCAGAAAAGCTCAGCCCCCATCACCATCCTCATCATCTTTGTTATCTTCATTCATGACAACGTCTCCCTTATGTCACTCACTCGCCGTGACTTGGGACGATCTCAGTACAAATGCTCCTAATGAGAGACAGGACAGGAGCCTCTCCTTTAACATGAATAATAATTAAACCCTCCGTTTCCCTTTTATGAAGGTAATCTGATCAGGGGCAAGTAAACAGCAAAGTTCTCACCTTGCCCTTCACACAGAATCTTTTGGGGGAAAATTTGTTCAACCCCGTTTGCTTTAAAGTCCATCGTCTTTGAATGAGGAGAGGTGAACCAGAGTGTAGTATGTTCACTCCCTGAGAGTTGGGATGAAGAAAGGGGCAGCTAGTGAACTGCAAGCATCCTGCAGTAACAACCTCGAGCTCTGTCTCCAAGCAACAGAAAGCACAGGCAGTAATTACAGGCTCTTGCTTTTTTTGTGCTTGACACTTTTCTAAACACATCAGCAACCATGCCATGAGGAGGGTAGAGCAGAAACTATGATGTCTCATAAGAGGCTCAGAAAAACTAAATGATTTTTCCAAAATCACAAAACTAGTAACCAGGCGAATCAAGACCGGGTATTTCTCCCAGGCTTTCTCTCGCATATATTAGAAAAGAAATCTCAGAATGGATCATACCCTAAACTCTCTTTAGAAACTCTCAGATTGTTAGTTGATTCTTTAATGGGAATGAACTGAGAGTCAGCTGAGAACAAGAATGGTACACAAACCCACCATCATGAGAAAGGAAGCCGGGGGTGGGGTTGGATGGATAAAAAGGGAGGAGAGGTGCTTTCCTAGACAAACGTCCCAAACTCTATAGTTTTACTGAAGGTGAGATCTGACCATGCCAAACCAACCCATTTGCAAGCTCTATTGGATCTGGTCCTAGACCAGGTCCCTGAGGGCAGGAACTTACCGTATTTTCCAGTGTATAAGACAACTTTTGAAATAAAAAAAAGTCAACAAAAATCAGGGGCAAAAGACCAAAATTGCACAAAAATTACCTGCAGATCTTGATGGCAAAGTAAGTCTTTTCTTTGAAGTGGGGGGTAGTCTTATACAGCGAATATAGGCCTAAACCTATGTTTTAACTGTAAAATTAGGGGGTCGTCTTATACGCTGGAAAATATGATATATCTCCAATGGTCAGCACTGTGCTGGGCACAGAGTAAATTCTCATACAGACTTACTGAACGAATGAATGGATGATTATGTGTCCATACTAACCCCGGTTTTGTCTTTAACATAGTCATTGCCCTCACCTTCAGTTTTCTTCCTACTTCCTCTCGGATCTCTCTAGCTGGGCCCAGTGTCAGGGCTCCTAATCAAGAAGGGAATTAGCCCAGAGAAGGCTTCACCTTGGCCCAGCACAGAGTGCAAGCAGGTCTGGCCCTAGGACAGCACTTTTCAGTTGAACCAAGCTAAGCAGGTTTATTGCTCATTCCTCTCAGACACAGCAGATTTGACATTTCTCCCAGCAGAGGGATTTCTTGTTGCAAAACGAAATGGAATCAATACAGTTTTATTAGCCACCCAGTGTAATAAATTTGCTCCAGATGACAACCTCTACGCCAGATTCTTACCAGTCCAGCCTGAGTCTGAGATACAAAAGGAATAGTCACTCCTCCAACCCCATTCCCACCCTCCAGCCCCCATCCTGAGCACCACCTCCCCAACCCATCCTTTATCACCTCTGCCTGAACTTCTGCACAGTCTCTTTAATCATTCTCCAGGGCTCCAGGCTGTCTCCCCTCCAGCCTTTCTCCTCCTGATCTGAATACTTCCCCCTTCCTGTGGCATTCATGGTCCTTCACAATGTGGACCTCCCCATCTCCAGGCTGATTTCCCACCACTCCACCCAATCACCCTACAGGTCACAGGAACCATTCCCCAGACAGCCCACAAACTTTCTCACCTCTGGACGCTTGCACATACTAGTTCCTCTGCCTAGCATGCCCTTCTCTACTCCTTTATCAGAACTCCTACTCATTTTTTCAAGGCTCACTTACTCTAGGAGGCCTTCTCTAAAGGCCCCAGAAAGAAGCAGTTATTCCCTCCTCCATGCTTTCTCAGTATCATTGTATTCATTGCCTGATACCTGGGACATTATCTTTTAAATTGAATTGTCTCTTCGCCCACTTGTAAATGTCTCTAAGATGAGTATGGAGTGTTGTTCAACCTTTAGACATCCTTGAATACCCCATGCCTGCCACAGTATCTGAACCAGGTGCACAAAAGTGTGTTGACCTGCACAAAAAAAGGCCAATAGGATTGTCCAAATCTCTGGAGAACTCAGGAGCTTTTGGTTCAGGCAATTCACATGTTGCAGCTGGTCAGAGCCATTGAAAGGTAAGGAACACCCTCATAAAAATATCCAAATGAGTGAAACTTTTTAGAGTGCAATATAGCAATATATTTCAACGTTTTCAATGAGCATACTCTTGGAGATTCCCATACTTTCATATCCAGGCAAGCAATCCTATATAATAAAAGCCTAATCTGCAATTGTCCCCTTGACCTGGAGTTCCACAAGGAGTTCAACTGCTTGCTATGATGTACACTGGCCACCAGGGGGGGCACAGACCATGGCAGGCGTTGGCAACACAGAGCTGATAGGGGGGCAGCAGTGGAGACACTGTTGGCTCCGATGGGCCTCAACGAGAGCAGGACCATGGCAGGATGGTGGAGATGAGTGGGCAGCACCAGGCCAAGGTGGGTGCGAGCGGGGCCCAATCGCCCTGCCAAACGCCCCACAGATGGCAACCGGCGGTGGTGGTGGCAGCAGTTGGCAAGGGGGAGGGGCCATTGCCTGGCTCCCTGGTGCTGAGGGAGCCAGGCAGGGGACTAATAACTCAGGCAGAGGGGGTATGCGGGGGCTGCACAGGGCCTAGAGGTCATGTGGGACCTGCCTTGCCACACCAGATGCTCGCACTTTGATTACAGGCCAGGCCTAGCATGAATTTCATGCACAGGACCTCTAGCTCATTTATAATTCAATACATGCTTTTTTTTGTTTTTTTTTAGCAGAAGCCCCATCCTCCAGCTTCCCTTTAGAATAGGGGTGTCGAACTCAATCAGAGAAAAGGCCAAAATCTAAAATCCAGCCTAAATCGCGGGCCGAATGGTTTACTGAACAGTCATAAACTGTCATTGTGATGGAAACGCAGCGGAGTGCAGTGATGACAGCGCGGTGCGGGCCACATTGCAAGGCCTGGCGGGACGGATTTGGCCCGCGGGCCTTGTGTTTGACACATGTGCTTTAGAAGATGAGCCCAGAGCTATTCACCGGCTAGAAAGGCCAGAACCTGCTTTTCTGCAGGTGCTCCATGAAGGGACACACCGCTTCCTGCTGCTCCCTCCCAACAGCCAATCGCACCCCCTTCTGCTGATGCTGGAGGCAGGGGCAGGAGCAGGGGGAGGATTGCAAGGGAGGGAGGCAGGTAGATGGAAGAACTGTAACATCAAAAGATGCCTCTGCTTCTATCTCTTTATCTCTCAAGGCTGTCTTATGGAGACCAGAATGAGCAAGGAAATGAACTACCACTACCGGTGCATCAATTAACTACAGAAACAGCCCTCCACCTGCACTTCCAGTGGCACTCCTGGTCCTGGGCAGGGTCTCCCACAGCAGGGAATTCTGCAGACACCAAGGCTGGCCTGCAGGGCACTGGCTGCAGAGGAAGTTGGGGATACAGCTCCTTGGGAAGAAAAGGACAGAAACAGTTGAATGAATTCCATGAATTGGTAAATTGCTAACCTAATCTCTCTCTTTGGATGAATGTCCTCTGTCTCTGCTTTAAGTGGTGGAAAAGGGCACGGGGTGAGGCTGCTGCCAGCTCTCTTCTCATTAAATGGCAGGCCCACGTCTTACCTCAGCAGTATTCCAGAGCCTAAGAAAGGACATTGCAGCAAATGAGCCTCTTCCTCCCTCCCGCTGTGTACGCTTTAGGGTATGAGCTGGGCTGGGAGAGCCTGAAATAAGCATATATGGTAAATAGAAATAATCCTAGTAATTCTATGTTATTAGTTCTAATAATGTTATTATTATCATTAGCTATATAATGGGTCAATAAATATTACATTTTTACTCTAAGCACTGTGCCAATGCTTGACATGCATAATCTCACTTTAAAATAATCCTATGGTGCCCTAACCGGTTTGGCTCAGTGGATAGAGCGTCAGCCTTCGGACTGAAAGACCCCAGGTTCGATTCCAGTCAAGGGCATGTACCTTGGTTGCAGGCACATCTGCAGCAGGAGGTGTGCAAGAGGCAGCTGATTGATGTTTCTCTCCTATCAATGTTTCTAACTCTCTATCCTTCTCCCTTCCTCAATAAAATCAATAAAATATATTAAAAATAAATAAATAAAAATAAAATAATCTCATGGTAAATTATTATTTCCATTTTACAAATTATTTAATCCTGAATTAAATAATTTTCACATCATTATCCAGTAAGTAGCCACACTGAGACTGATTTAGTCCCATTCTTAACCATTACACTACAGTGGTTGGTACAGTAGAATTTTGGCATTCCTGAGAGATACACCATGATGAGGCCAAAAATATTCAACCAAACACAAATATTTAACTCCCTGTTAAAATTCTAAAAACATTCAGGAAAGATATTTTGAAAAAAATAGTAAACCAATTAACATCAGAGGCAGAATAGTACATTGGTTAAGCACACAGCCACTGAAGCCAGGCTACCTCAGTTCAAATCTCACCTCTGCTACCTACCAGCTGTGTGACCTTGGACAAATGACTTAACCTCTCTGTGCCTCAGTTTCCTCATTTTTAAAATGGGTTGTTTGGGGATTAAAAGAGTTAATATGGTTAAGTAGATTAGTTTCCTATTGCTGTAACAAACTAACACCAACTTAATGACTTAAAGCAACACACATTTATTATCTTATAGTTCTGGGGGTCAAAAGTGCAAAATGGATCCTAAAAGAACTCAAACTGGGCTAAAGTCAAGGGCTCTGTTCCTCCTTGAGTGTCTAGGGGAGTATTCATTCTCTTGTCCTTTCCAGTTCCCAGAGGCCACCCACATTTCTTGGCTCATATTCCACGTCACCTTCAAAGCCAGAATTGCATCACTTCTATCTCTGCTTTCATGGTCACATCCCTTTGTTTGATGCTAACACTCCCTCTTCCTTCTGTCCCTTATGAGAAAAGGGCCATTGGATAATCCAGGTCTCCTCATCTCAAGATCCTCCATTTAATCACATCTGCAAAGCCCCTTTTTGCCATGTAAAGTAACATATTTTTAGGTTCTGGGGATTAGAACCTATTTGGGGGAGGGGGACATTATTCTACTTATCATGGTAAGGCTAGACAGGTAGGTAAGTAGATAGATGATAGCTAGATGATAGATAGATAGATAGATAGATAGATAATTGATAGAAGATGATAGATAGATAGATGATTGATAGAAGATGATAGATGATAGAAAGTTAGATGATAGATAGATGATAGACAGATGAGGCAGACAGCAGGTTTTGCCCAGTGAGAGTGAGCACTGAGGTGTGATAGGCCAGGAGGCAAGCTACCAGCCTCTCTCCTGCCAGTCACGGGAGCTGAAAGCATAATCTTTACTCAGAGGCCCTCAAACACACATTGACACATGTAAAACTGAGCACTAATCAAGAATCACCAACATCTGAGGAAAGCAATACCCGTGAAGATTAGAACTAATTCCACTAATGAGAACTAATACCTAATGAACTAGAAGAAGATAACTTACATTTAGTTTAATTCCTCCTCCCAGGGAAATTTGAGAAGATATTACTTCCTAGAAAAAATAAACATAAGACCGTGAAATAAATAAAATTAGACATTAATAACAATAGGATGAAAAATACTATTTGTTGAGTTAAAAGTCTAAAGCACCCTTTAAATTATCGTTAGGTTAAAGAGGGGAAAATTAAAATTACAAATTATCACCGAAACTGGTTTGGCTCAGTGGATAGAGCGTCGGCCTGCAGACTGAAAGGTCCCAGGTTTGATTCCGGTCAAGGGCATGTACCTTCATTGCGGGCACATCCCCAGTGGGAGGTGTGCAGGAGGCAGCTGATATATGTTTCTCTCCCATCGATGTTTCTAACCCTTTATTCCTCTCCCTTCCTCTCTGTAAAAAATTAATAAAATATATTTTAAAAAATAAAATTACAAATTATTTTTAAAGTTAAACAACAATGAAAGTATTAGATATCAAAACTGTGGAAAACTATCAACACAATATCAGAAAAAAAGAAAAAAAAATAATCTACTACCTCAAATGTATTTATTAGAAAACAAAATAGAAGCTATTTGAAGGGAGATAACAAACCCCCAAAAAGTAGAAAACAGAAATTAATAAAGGAAAAAGGGGGGGAAAAAACCCTGAAAAAGTAAGCTGATTAATACTAGCAAAAGCTGATTCCTTAAAAGGACTAACATATTACAAATATCTAACACGTGTAGTCAAGCCAGTGGGGGTCGGGTTGGGGAGAGACACCAAAAAGTAGCATTAAGTTAGATGAACGGAGGTATTAGAGATGCAGAGATGTCTATCCTATATAATAAGAGATGAATATGCTAATTAAATGGCTGCATAATGACTGGATCACGGATCTGTAGGAGGGTGGGGCAGCAAACTACTTCGGAGAGCTATAGGAGGGCACAGGGCAACAAGCTATGAAGAGGGCAGAGACAGGGGGGAGCGACAGAAGGGCAGCAGAGAGCTACTGGTGCATGAATTCGTGCACAGGGCTACTATTAAATTATAAGAGAATCATATTTCTTCTAATAAATTTGAAAATCTAAATGGCCCTACCGGTAGGTAGTTCAGTGGTTGAGTGTCGACCTATGAACCAGGAGGTCACGGTTCAATTCCTGGTCAGAGCACATGCCTTGGTTGTGGTCTCAGTCCCCAGTAGGAGGTGTGCAGGAGGCAGCCAATCAATGATTCTCATCAGTGAAGTTTCTATCTCTCCGCAGGTCTGGCAGCTCTAGTGACTACACTGTGGTATAGTGTGAGTCCCCATGTGCTCTAGGAGGCTGCAGCTGCAGAAACTGCTAATACCTCTGCAAGATAGCTCAGCTCAGTGAGACTTTGCTTACACGAAAAAAAATTTCATCAAAAAGACTTTAAAAATAATAACAATGCATTTATTTCAAAAGCAATATATTTGTACATAAATAATGCTATTTTCATTTGGGAACAGATCTTGCTGTTGAAATGATAAATCTGCGCTGTTTTCACCAGAAGAAGATAAAAATATTAACAGGACAGCCAGTGTAATATCTTGCTAGGAACAGCTTCCCGAACAACTCAGTTGAGAACATTTTGCTTTATTTCACTTGCTGGCTGTGGTGGGGAGGATCTCCCCTCTAGTCCCAATTCTGACAGTCATTATCTATAAGACTTTGAGCACGTTATTTAACTTATCTAAGTCTCAGTTCTCACATCTGTAAAATGGGAGTTCTGGATGTGAAGTCAGATTATAAGGAAGAAATAAGAAAAAGTGTGTATTTTCAAGGATTTATCAAAGCACTGGACACAGAAGGGATTGCAAGGTGGATAATTGGACCTCACGCCCCACTCCCCCACCAACCCACAGGTTCCTGAGGGAAATGTAAATGTGGAGTAAGGCTGAAAGAAGAATACCCTTCATTACTACGAGGCTGACAACTCTAATGCGCACCGCTCACGCGCACAACTCATTTGTCCGGACAGCCTGGCTCGTGGGTTTGAAGCCCGGTAAGTGGCCTCCATCGCCCTTCCCCGTCATCCCAGATCCTACAGCTCAGGAAGGAGGGACAGACAAGGCAGAAAGCCCACAGGCAAATAAGGGTTTGCAAGCACAGCAGCCAGGGCGAGAGGGCCGCTGTGGGCCTGCCCCGGGGAGAGGTGGTCTGCGCTTCACAGGCTGGGCGGTAAAAGCAACGCTGGCCAGCCTAACCTTCACACAGCACAGAGCAAGATGCTGACGGAGCAGAGAGAGCAAGAGAGAGAGGATGACTTCGGCGTTCCCTGAGCAAGAGAACTCAGCCCTTTCGGGAGAGAGATCCCAAGAAAGCAGGCCTAAATGCAAGCTCTGAACTCCGGTTCAAACAGTGCGTCTCCCCTCCCTGGTGAACAGAATGTGTTCAGACACAAATGATGGGTACCAAGGTTCTTCCTACAGGAGGTGCAGAGAAGGAGGCGGCAGTGAGGACTGCGGAGGAGCCCCCAATTGCTTCAAAATACCCAGCTGAGCCCTGGCCCCTGTGGCTCAACCGGTTGAGCATCATCCCATGCCCCGAAAGCTTGCCTGTCAATTCCCATCAGGGCATATGCCAGGATTTTGGGTTTGATCTTCAGTAGGGGGCATGCAGGAGGCAGCGGATTGATGTTTCTCTCTCTCTCCCCCTTCCTTTCTCCTCACCCCCTTTTCTTTCTCTCTTCAATACAAATATATTTAAAAAACAAAAAAACAACAACTCCCAGCTGAGGCATGTCAGCCATTTCCTGCTGGGACCCAGACTGGTCTAAAGACTTACAAAGAGAAATAAAGAATAGTCACCTATGCCGAAGCCGGTTTGGCTCAGTGGATAGAGCGTCGGCCTGTGGACTGAAAGGTCCTAGGTTCGATTCCAGTCAAGGGCATGTACCTTGGTTGCGAGCACATCCCCAGTGGGGGGTGTGCAAGAGGCAGCTGTTCGATGTATCTCTCTCATCGACGTTTCTAACTCTCTATCCCTCTCAATTCCTCTCTGTGTAAAATCAATAAAAATATATTTAAAAAAAAGAATAGTCACCTCATGGGCACAGCAACAGAGTGAGGAGCTATACAATCTTGCTCCTGAAGTCTGGACTCTGACCGAACTGCCTGTTCAGGCTCCATGATGCCAACTCTACTAAGAACCCCCTCTTCCCCTGAGGTGAGGCCTTGTCTTTCAACTTTCCAGGGCTTTTGCTCTCATATCGCCTTCCAGGGCCAGCAGGCTGCAGGAGGACGGGCCTCACATGCTACTGGGGGCCCACAGGGCTAGCACTGCATGTGGACCGGCCCCTCTGCCTGCAGCCACCTGTAACTGAGTGCTTGGCTCCATCAAAGGAGAGAACCACTCGGAGCCTGATGTGGACTCAGTCCGGGGCCCACAGACTATGCACCATTGTCTACACGGCAAGCCACACGGTGCAGGAGCCGTGCAGGCCCTGTTCTTACAAAGGACGCTCATTTACACGCGTGCTCTTCTGGCTGAAGATCTGTCCTCTCCAGCTTTTCCTTAGGGATGACTCTCCTCCTCTCTGTTATGGAGCAAACACGAGTGAACAGCCACTGGAGTCCTGACCAAATTAAAATTTAGGGAGCCTTTATTAGTCAGCCGGGCGGCCAGCAACTGCTCTGCCTTTCTCCACTCAGAGAGACCAGAGAGCAGCAGCGACCCTTTGTGGGATCACTTTTAAGCCCACAAACCATATCCTGTTTTTGCAGAGCAAGTAACCCAAGACAAAACAGTTTTTCCTAAGCTACATTAGGGTCATACTATTGATGACCATGTTATTCACAGGGACATCCTGTTCTTCAGAAAGCTGACAGAGATCTATGAGAGAAGGCCTACGTGCTGGGAAGGGGCCATGAGACTGTATCTCAAGGCCTGGCCTGCTGTCAGCAATGACAACTCTATCTGGGGCATAGTCCACGGCCTCAATAGTGCTAAAAAAAAAAAATTCCCTCTCTAACACCCTTCACGTCCTACAGAAACAGCCTGTGTTCACAGCCTCAGACATCCAGCCCCTTCACCAAGCAGCAGTGGGAACCGAGCGCTCGGGATTCCTTTGTGTCCTGATTTCATTAATATTTTTAAACTCGCTGTTACTTAATTTTCTTGCTCTTGCACCTGTTCACATATTTTATCCGGCAGCCAACCTGCCACATGTTGACCTAAATGAAAACCTGAAAACTGAAAAATAAACCAAGAGTCTGAATAAAACCAAAATTAACTTCAATCCCTCTTCAGAGGTGGAGAGGGGCAAGTCTGTGTAACCATCTGTGGAGTGGCTAACCTTCCAGGCCCTTCTGCTCTGCGAATCTGTGAGAGTGGCTTCTGCCTGGACGGTACGCCTCGTGCACACAGGCCTCGCCTCATTCCCTGCCAGGATCCACACCCCTTCTCCTCCGGGCATTGGGGCCTGGGTGCTACCTGACTCCGGCCTGCAGCACCATCCTCTCCCAGTCTCTGGAGCTAGTACTTTTGGGAGGCAAGCCTGAGAGTTTCCTCCTGACCATGTCTGTGTTGTCCCTTCAGACTGTCAGGGCCCCAAGGGCAGGGACTGTGCCTCTGCACTTCCCCTGGCTCAGGCCCACACACAGCAGGTTCCCAGTGAACACTTGCTCAATGAATGAGGGGCTGTGGCTCCCTGTGCCCAAGCCCTGTCCGGGCAGCCTTCCCAGCAGCCCCACTGGGGCAGACACTGGGAACTGGCCTGTTCCGGCCCCTTTATGGTGCTCGCAATGGAGGCTGCCAAAGTAGAAACACGTTTCCAGAGCTCTTTTTATCTAGGTCCTAAGTGTGATTTAGTTTCTCTAATCAGATGCACTGGTCCGAGGCTTCATTCAGAATGGAGTCGCCTGGGGAGAGGGACAATGCCTGCGGCAGCACATTTCTGTGTCTGGGAGCTGAACCACAGCTGTGGCGGCCTCCTGCTCCCAGTCTCCTGATTCTGGCAAAGCCAGCAACCCCGTGGTGTGATTGTAGGGAGTCACTTCTGGAAGGGAAACTCCCTTTATTTTCTGTTTCTTCAGTCCCTTCCCCCCACCCCTACCCGCCCCACACACACACACACACACTACCACCACCAAGAATTCTGTGAGCCTTCATATTTTCCATAAGCCCCTTTCTGCATCACCAGGTAGAACAGATTCTATTTCCTCCAACTAGAACCCTCACACCTGTGCTCCTGGCCTTCCACCTTCCGGAGTGAACCCCCCAACTCAAAGCCCCACACCCTTCGTCTCGGCTCAGCTTACCTTCACCCCACTCTGTCAGAGGGGAAGCACTCCCTCTGCTCAGGGGCCCCGGGCTACTTGCTGGAAGTACTGACATGAATGGGACCTAGCCCCTAACTGCGTAATTTTTCAATCAGAAACAGGAAACCCGAGAAGGTTTTGAAATGTTCCAGACAGGTCATCTCCGTTCCACGCGTGTTCCCTGAGCACTGCTCAGAGCATCTTCTGGAAAGTGAAACAGGGGCGAGCAAACGTTTCAGGAGATGAGGCTTTTTAAATATTACTCGGAGCAAACAGCATCGGTCCCTACAGCGGGGCGGGCGGGTTTCCTTAAGCACAAGCGCACCCAGGGCCCAATGATGCTACCCTGCTTCTTCATAACAAAGGCTGCGCTCATTTGCTTACCACAGGGCAACGGACACTCAGGATCTTACCTGCACGTGACTCCTGGGGGAAAGAATGCTGCTTATCTGGGAGATTCCAAGGACTTTGTGCCCTTCCAACCTTGTCTCCACTGATCTCTCCATTCTTCCAAAGGCATGGGCACAGCTAACTTCCACCATCGCCAAAACATGACCTGCCCTGTCTCCCTCTAACCAGTGGTTTTCAACCTTTCTCAGGCCGCGACCCTTTAATACAGTTCCTCACGTTGTGGTGACCCCCAACCATAACATTATTTTTGTTGTTACTTCATAGCTGTAATTTTGCTACTGTTCATGAATCGTAATGTAAATATCTGTGTTTTCCGACCTACACGTTGAGAACCACTAGCAGGGTCACCTAAGACCATCGGGAAAAAAACAGATATTTACATTATGATTCATTAACAGTAGCAAAATTACAATTATGAAGTAGCAACGAAAATAATTTTATGGTTGGGGGTCATCGCAACATGAGGAACTGTATTAAAGGCTGGTGGCATTAGAAAGGTTGTGAACCTCTGCTCTGACCCACCAGACTGCTCCCTTGACTTGTCAAAATCCCTGGCTCAGCTGAACGCTCTCCTGCACCACAAAGCTTTCGAGCGTTCCCTGGATACAGGGTCAGCTTGTTCCACATCTGTACCGTGGACCCTTGACATTTACAGATTTTAACCTTCTCCACTTTGAACATTGTCAAACCACCCTAAAGGTCCAAGACACAGACTAATTTGGAATGTGTTGAGGAGGGAAGTTCAGTCACACAGCTGCTAGGAGGCTGGTGTATCGGAAAGTGTCACTGAGCCACGAGGGTGGTGACAAAGTTGGGTATAAAGAAGGCCCTGGAGGTTAAAGAAGACAGAGAATGGTGGTGCTTCTTCCTATTTCCACCCTCACCATCACCCCGCTCTGTTAGAGAGGAAGGGCTGGTGAGGGGCGGGAATCTAGTCACTGAATCCCATCCAAAGGTCTGGAGGCATCAGGAGAAGTTGGACAGGGACCCTGGCACGCAGGATGGAAGCCCTTCCAGTCAGAAAGCAGGGCTCAGACACCAGCCATCAGGTAGGAGCTTGAGGTTTAGGGCCCGAGAGCTGACCAGGCACCCAGAAGCCAAACATGGTATTTCCGTACTCTTATTACGATACCTGCTGCTCAAGCCTAGTGGGGTCACAATCCTTCTGTCATATTTTTTTTCCAAATCCTGTGGGAGAACATAGAGCATCCATTAAATGCAGAGATGCCAGAGGCCTTGGTGTGTAGTTTCTGGAATGTGAACTTCCGCTGGCCTTGAGGAGAGCCTCTGTCACAGCACCTGTCGCCTCGGGGAGGTGGGGACCCCGCTTCTCCTCCACTAGAGCAGCCGGGGCTTTGTCCAGGTGGTCCTCACAGTTACCGTGGGGGCCACAGACCAAAGTGGAGCCATCATGGCATGTGTCCACTTGACCGTGCTAACTGGTCCAGGAGTGAAATGGAATTCAAGCTGGCCTGTGACTCTTTCCCTTTGCATGTTTGAACTGAAAACAGAAGACACGCAGTCAGTTTCTCTCTGATGGTGACGTTAGATGTAAAACTTCTGAGATGTCAGAGGCAGTTTCCTATCCTCTGAAGTCAGTCTGCAGTCCAACAGAAATGATACTAACAGCTAACACTATTTAAGCACCTTCTATGTGCTTAAACCAGGGACTATGCCAAGTCCTTTATGTACAGTAACTCACT